TAATTCTAATTCACTGTAATCAATAATAGACTAAAAATCTAAAGCATTAGTTGTCCATTAGTCCATTTATATAGCACTGTACTCCATGCTCTAAGCTCTTGAACATTATTACTCCAGTCAATGAATCAATATGCACTCAATATTCATTCTCAGCTCCCTGAGGAGTATACAACCAAAGCAGCCTGTAAGGCGCTGGAAGGTTAACAGCCACCATCTCATCCTACCAGGTACCCATTCACTGCTGGGTGAAAAGAGGCATATTACGAACAACATCCCTTGACTGAGGTGACACATGTGCTACATGTGCATCAGTGTGGAGTAGGACCGAAGCCCTAAACACACTCAGGGGTTAAGCTGCCGATCACGATCACCCATCCAATGACCCTCCGATAACCCATGTGATGACCTGTTACAAGTCCCGGAAACCCGTCTCAAAACCTTTGGTCAGAGATCTTTCCAGTTCTGCGCTTCCTCGCTATGGAACAAACTACCATCTGATCTTAAGCTGTCGCATCGCTTTCATCCTTTAGGCTCATCTGAAAACACACCTTTTCACACAACACTATCAACTCTACTCCCCCTTTCATTAGCATTACTTGCTAAAACTATGTAGCGCCATGAGCTTTAACTTGGTGAATGGAATCTGGCGCAGTATAAATGGACTTATTATTATTATTATTGCTGTGAACAGGACCACATGCCACCAGTGCCAAAATTGTTGCCATCTCACTAAATTTGAGAGGGAGAAAAGTGATGATGTTCAACCATGTTATGTTACAGAAGGTGAAATGGGGAATAACGTCGCGTCCAAGATTATTTCACTTAATTAGCGACGTGCATGCACATGTATGTGTGTGTGGGGGGGCTGCTTGTACTAGTCCAGACTGATGCCGATTTATAGTGCTAGCTCACTGAGATACTACCCCAGTTTAACATGAATACCCCACTCAGACACAGTATATTGACTCCAAGCCGACCAGTCCTTGTTTTAGCCCCTTAATGCCAAGTGACAGACAGGGTAACAACAAGTACCATCTTTTAACGTCTTTTGGTATGACGCGGTCGGGGATGGAACCCTGGACCTTCTGCTCTCCAGGCGGACACTCTACCACTAGACCACGGAGGCGGTCTCATCTTACAGAAGCCAGGTAGAGTGTTATAAAGCACAGAATATGGTAAAAGAAGAACCATGTATTTTCACACCAATGGTTATGACCTAAACACTATTCTTCATGGAAATGTCACAGCAAAGATTAATTTAGAAATATTAAAATCCATTCATGAATCTATATCAGCCTTGATCAGATTCTAAAATTGTATCTAAGTGCTGCAAACTAACGTTTAAACTCTCATGTATCTGATGTTTGCTTACAATTTTTTATTTATGTAGAAACTGTGTTTTTATACCTAAAAAATTATTTTATTACTTACCCTTGACTGTACATAATAATTGACGACATTGTACGACATCTGGAGTGATAATAGTATAAGTCTTTACATATTTACCAATCCAGCTTCACACATTTTGTGAAATAAATAATTCCCCTACTCAGAGAAACGTTTTGGTTGGGAGCTCAAAGAAATACCACACAATGCATGAGGTTGGAAAGAGTTGTCTCCCCTGATGCACAAACACCAGACCAAATTGTAAGATATAATCTATAGCCTCTGTCATCATTTGATAACATACACTTTGAAAACATCTGATGATACTCATCTTAATACAGTGGTTGTCTACATAGAAGATGCAACCTGACCTGATACATGGTTTTGTTTGGTTAAAAAAGATAGATACACTGAGGTCAGAACAGAATAAATATGTTAAAAATTAAACACAAAATGCTTTCATGGGGTGTTTTACTGATGGCTTGAATTTTGTGAGTTGAAAGCTGTAGTGTCCCATGATCGTATCATGATACAGACCTGTAGCAGTGTGGATACTATCTCCAATGATCATAATCTACAAGAACTAGGGATTCGAACTCACAACCCATAGGGGACACAGTGGCCTACTGGCCCAAGCCACTACAATTCTCTGTACAGTGTTGTGTCTCTTAGTCGCGCCAGAAACCGATGATAGTGAGTTCAAAGAAATTTTCCCTGATTATGTTTCTAGGTTTGTCAGCACCAAACACATCTAACACCTGCAACACTTCAGGCTTTCTCCAATATCAAGCTAACAACTCTCTCTCTCTCGCTCTCTCGCTCACTCACTCACTCACTACTTTATGAGCTGAAGCACCTACCACCACTGGGCTTGGCATCTTAGATGTGAAGTAAAAGTTGTTTTACGATTCAAATTGTGTTGATAAAGGCATTTTCTTTTGCAAAAAAAATATCATAAAAGAAGCAAAACCAAAGCTGAACATGTACACCGGTAATCAGGGCTAACTGGGATTTGAACCAACGATCCCAAGCTGCAGAGGTCTAAAGGCACAGGTATGGAACTGAAAGACCTGCCTTCTTTACCAAGTTGCTTCACAATTTATCTATCCAATGTTACCTACACTGTTAAACACTGTGTTTTTAACTATTCTTTGCGATAACAATTATCACAGAAATTTGTCCAGCTTCCCAATGGGCAAGTCTGACTTTATAGACGATAGACAAGGACAATGCCATGTTTGTTCGTAAACACTGAAAGTAGTACCTACCTGACATTTTGTATTTGCATATTTATTCATAAATGACCCAAGTGGATACTATTTTTATCTACTGGCTTTAGCCTGCTGATTAATTATACCCATTATATAATATATTTAGTTATCCAGTATTCATTTGAAAACAGAAAAGAGAAAGATAATATGTTCAGCAAGCACATATTACACACATGTCAACATATGAGGATTGATAAGTTCTGAGACTCACATAAAAAAAATTGACCTAAAGACATTAAAATGATTTATTTTTCATCATAATCTGCTTCTGCATAGATACCCATTTGCCAAGGATGATGGAGGGATTTCATTCCAGTTTTGTAGTAGTCCTTCTCTTGGCTGTCCAAAAAGTTCTACACAACTGCCTTGATCAGATCAGGAGAATATGGTTGATGCTGAGGGAGATCAAAGCCACACTCGTGGATTGTAGCCATGGCAATGACAAAAGTATGCACTGGCACATTGTCCTGATAGAAGTGCAGACCTTTTGCCAGCTTTCCATGTCCTCAAGTCTTAATTTCATCCTGTAATTGCCTCAGAAGTGCAATATAATATGTTCTGTTTATTGTGTGGCCTTTTGGAATGTAGTTCGCCATGCAATCTTCGGCATCTAAGAACATGGAGGTGAAAACCTTCCAGATGATGGGACAGTCTTGCATTCTTTGGTGGTGGTGATGTCAAATGCTTCCACTATTTGGATTGTTGTTTCACTCAGGCTGGAAGTGGGGAACCCAGGTTTCATCCCTAGTCACAAATTATTGCAAGAACCTTTCTGGATCAGCTTCAAACAGATAGATTATCACAAGACATGTGACTGGTACATTTTTTATGAGATATCAGAAGCTATGGAACTCAACAAGTTGATACTTTCTTCATTGCCAAAGTTTCCATGATAGTGGAATGTAATCTCTCCTGGGAAATACTAAACTAGCAACATGACCCCTAGTCATTTGCCAGTCAGTCAGCACCATAACGTGCATTCTCTGGATTATTTCTAGTGTTGCTGATGTCACAGCCCTTCAAGGACTGAGGTTGTCTTTAAGGACAAGGCTCTCCTTGACACACTTTAAACTTTACTGACCACCACCTTACAGTGCATGGGAAGGGGCATCCAAAGGTCCAAAGGTCACAAGCCCCTGCTCATGTTATTGACTTGTCACAGTGATACAATTTGCTCAGCTGACTCACATTCTTGAGGATATATCTCTGACATCATGTAATGTACACAACAAAAGATTTCACTATTACCATGATTACCCAATTCCCTCTACCTGAGGCTCAGAACTTATCAATCAACCCTCATATATATCTTGTAAGAAACACAATGTTGTGTTCGTATGCTGTGGCTTAACTATTGGTGCACAGATTTCATTCTGTCCTTCCATATTTTATCTGAACAATGTTATGTATGTCAAGCCATTGTAAAAGCAAGGGGACTGGCTTGATATGCATACTATTACATGTGTTGAAACTTTGTATCTTGAAATTTCAACTTAGTTTCTTGAAATTTCAACTTAGTTTCTTGAAATTTCAAGATAGAATAGAAAAAAATTAAAAAAACAAATGGCCCTAAAAGGCTTCCGTACCCATCTGTTACAACTGGTTACATATTTTCCAAATGACCAAGTCACAGTGTATTACATACATTGTATACTCTTGAATCTATTTTCGAAAATATAAGACTGTGATATTATAGTTTTAAAACAGTATTCTTTTAAGTTCATAAACTTAAAAGCTACTAAGAGATGAACCCACTACCTCCATCTTCCCGCGGCAAAGGTGTTAACTGACTTTATAAGCAACTGGACTTTCTTATAAAGTCAGTTAACACCTTTGCCGCGGGAAGATGACTACCTCCTACACAAGTAATGAAAATGGGGAGGTGGACTACAACATTTTATCAAAGGGCTGGGGTCTATCAAATCACAAATAAAGTGTGATATCAAAACCTAAGTCACTTGTACACTGCCATTTATTTATACAAAAGATTCCGCTTGACTTTGGATCTTTGCCCGCTCCTAATAAGCACCTTTGCCAGGGATAATCTACCTTGTAGGGATGATGATACGCTTGATAAGAATATGTGTTCGCATCGTGTCTCTCACAGGCGATCATTATCATCACGATATATCACCACACAAACGAGTATACTTGACTTAAAGATTATCTTCAACATATAAAACGTCAAGTGTGATGTGTGTTGTTGTTGGGCGTCCAGCCGTGACGAGCGCTTGATATTCATTCACAAATCACCTGTCGGCTGAAACTTTAGATTCGGTAACGTTCATCGAGTTCATTCATCACCTGAGTAGCACAGGTACAAGATGTCACTCAAGCCGGACGGTCAATTTAAATTGTTTGCTCAAATCCATCATCAGAACTGACTCATGATAATGTTTAATAATGTATATTTCGTAACTGGAAATGTACCATATTGCATTGCGTTGCGCACCTGTTGAATTGACAGCCAAAAGCTATTCACGTGACCCCCGACCTCACGTGCAATAGCGAGCGCAGGGCCAGCGCGAGCTTGTACCTATCTGTCAACACAGACTATCAAATTACTGCGATGCCCAAAGCCCAGTAGCGATCGCCAGTCGGAGTTTGTAATGAGGTAAATTGATTGTTATCTTTTCAACTGTCACTGAAAACTGTGTACACAATTGCTGCTTCCGCTGTGCAGCGATTTCGCTTGCGGCGCCATATTCAAACTGCGATGACTCACAGGTAAAGGAGCTTGCGTGATAGGCTCGGGCAAGGTCGATAAAACGACAGCTAAACACACGCGGGGGATTTCAAACCACATTCGTGCGATCGCATGGAGATTTAGGTGCAGGTGATCCTTGGATATATCACCACAAATGACCGTATTTGTTGGTTGCAAAATCACAGGTATAATAGACCAACAGGTGAGTGTTGCTGTGGGTTATAATCGGTTAGAAGTCTTTTGTTGTGTGTCAACATGCATGTATAACATGGTCCGATGGTTGCTCAATGGACGAACAAAATATCAACTATTTCTGCTAACATCCTGAATTTTCTGTCAAGACGAAATAATACATACATGTTGTTGCAGGTCATGTGGCCTTGTAGTTGTATGTCCTTCTTAAATTGCTTAAATGGAATCATAGTGTTATAATCTTTGAAATATTATTTTGATAGTTAATCAAAGTACTTATTCAAGTCCTGTTAGACCAGTGTATGGTGATTGGAAAGCCTTTCGCCTGTATTCACTCTCAAAAACTTTTATATGCATGCGTTGCTGCTCAATCCTTTTAACTATATATATTTTATTTTTTTTGAGGGGCAGGATTTGTGTGGATGTCTCACCAGGTGATTTTTTAAAAATAAATAAAAAAGCCTATTCAAATCCTGTTATACCAGTGAATGGCCGCGAATCCAAACTATATGGTAGACACAGTGTTGCATCGTGTATCTGAATATGAAACACTTGAATACTTATGAATGTGGTATATCTTTCATATCCCATCCATGTATGTCCTATATTATGGTATGTCATATATCTCTATTGCTATTAAGTTATAAATGTTATTATCATCATAATGTTTAATTCTACCTCCATCATTATATCATCTCCTTTCTTTTAAGATATTTCTCAAAATGGAAAGAAGACATGCACTAGATAATTGATGACTCAAAATCAAAATGATCTTAATTGTTCTTCGGCAGATATGTCTAGATATGGGTAAACTTGAGTTTGCGTGTTGTTTTACGAAACACTCAGCAATATTTCAGCTATATGACTGCAGTCTGTAAATCTGGCAATCCAGTAATTGACATCATGAGAGGGTTTTACGATATGCAGAAATGTGCATCCAGTATGCAAAAAATGTATAGAATGGATGCAGAAAAACATATATGGCATCCCGAGGAATGCACAATAATACTGGTATTTATTTACCAAATTCTTGATAAGAAATATTAAGTTCCTGTGATCAAAGTCATAATTAAACCTTACAGTACAGTTCACAACACCATTTCAATATTATACAGCGCCTTTATATTTCCTATTTTGGGGGTGCTCTGGAGTCTTAGTTTTGTAGGTAAAGGTAAACACCTGTATAAGCATGATAAGCATCCATCTACGCACTTGGGATATGCTGACATGCATCAACAAAGTCAGGCAGCCTGACCACCCAATCCGATTAACCACCTCTAACAGTTATCTGAAGTAATTACGTAATATTACCAATTCATCTAATAATATTACAAATCTTAATAAATAGTGATAAAAGTCTGTTTCCACACCTTAAACATGTTAAATGTACACAGATATCCAAGTTAGAGAAGAATAGCAAGCTACAGTTCCAGGACACTATCTCAACATATAAAACTACTATAACAATTTGTGAAACTAGCGACTGTGCTTGTTGTAAGAGGTGACTAACGGGATCGGGTGGTCAGGCTCTGTGTCTTGCTTGATGCATGTCATCGTATCCCAGTTGCATGGATTTATGCTCATGATGTCAATCACTAGATTGTCTGGTCCAGACTTGATTATTTACAGACTGCCGTCATATAACTAGTTATTGCTGAGTGTGGCGTTAAACAACAAACAAGCAAACAAACTACACAAGTTGTCAAACAAATAATACAGGAATACCCAGTCTTCATTCTGTGATGCTTGTTTTTCACAATCAGAATCTTGTTAACGTGTATGTGTTAATCTATTGAGAATAAAAAGTTGCCTTGGGCATACATGAGGAATAACTCATAAAGTCAGGGTGTGCTTAAAACCTGCCATTTGTTGAAAAGAACATAAGACTCTAAGAGGGAATTAGGCATGTGAGCATGCATGGCAGACATGTATTAAAAGAACTGAACAAAAGTTTAGATGCCCTTGGAAAGTCGAAGCCTTGTTTAAATTAAGATAGAATGGTCCTGAAGGAAATTGAAAAAGGTGTTGCCTCAAAGGCTTAATGGATGGCCTCACAAATACTTGAGTTGTCTGGGACAGGCAGGTGATTTAATGGGTTGCATAACCTTACTGCCCTTTGTCCATTAGCTGCATGTGGAGGTCACTGACTTTCTCCCTCAATGGAAATCACCTTGCCACCTCAATTTGCACATCTGTTGCCATGGTAACGGACATGCTTAGATAACAGGAAAAACAAATTAAAACCATGTCTTTCATGGATCAGTTTTACTACAATGAAAGTCAAGTACATGGTTACCGTGGTTACTGATCATTAGAGCAAGTGATTGAGTTAAAATATAAAGCTGCATCAGCATTATTTCTGCCATGCAGTGACAAGAAGAAGTTTATCTATACGTAAGGGAGTCATGAATACAAAGTTATATTTAAAAACAAATTTGTCAAACATATTTTGGCAAAACGATATTATTTATTATACAGGTTAAGACATGGGCTATAGGCCACCAATAACCAAAGCAAGGCCACCTCGTTTGGGATCATGGGGACTTACAGTGCCCCAGCAGGATTTATGTCATCACTTTAGCCACTGGTGCTTGTGCACAATACTAGCCAATATAAAAAAAATGCTCTGCAATAATTTGGCCTAAAACACTGGTTGATGATGTTGCATCGATTATGACATTGACAGGATTACGTGTCACACAGGAGAACAATTAGAAATAGTATCAGCTTAATAAGTATGTTAAACAGTAGCCTAACATCTTGTCTCTGAAATGAATATATTTTAGAGAAAAACAGGTGTTGAATTATAGTTATAAAATATAATAAAAAGGAGCAAAGAGACTTCTTTTTTTTCTGATACTGCAGTAATGTAGACTTGCATGGGCTGTATTGGATATATTTGTTTCAGGGTCTGTATAACAGACTTGTTGAACAGCACCAACAATAATATCCATCCAACTGATATTATTGTTTGCAAAATTTCATTTTATGGTAACAAAGTTGATAAATGTTCTATTTGACTTGGTGAAATGGGTACCACAGGTAAAAACTGTCAAGTTAGATCAATATTTATCAGATTTGGTTTGGTTTCTTGTTTTACGCCGCACTCAGCAATATTCCAGCTATATGATGACGGTCTGTAAATAATAGAGTGTGGACCAGACAATCCAGTGATTAATATCATGATCATCGATCCACGCAATTGGGATCGATGACATGCATCAACCAAGTCAGCGAGTCTGACCACTCGATCCTGTTAGTCGCCTCTTACAACAAGCATAGTCGCCTTTTACGGCAAGCATTATTTATCAGAACAACTTTGATTTAGCTGTGTTTTGTCACATTCTGCTAACTGAATGAGTTCAGGGATTTATCTGGACTTGCTCAGAGGCCGATATTTGGCCCTAAGTCTGAAGCCAATGTCAGTACAAATTCCCAAATCGGAATTACAAATTTCCTGATTCATGAAGTTAAAGTTATAACCAATGTTAACCAATGTTTTGGTTTGTAGAGATGACTTGTATTTCACTGATAACAGGACCAATACAGAGGAGAAAAAGACTTTAGTGCTTTAGTTTTCACTGTTTCATTGAATGCAATGTTAACAATGTTAACATGCCTCCTAATTTGAGGCAATAAAAACTAAGAATATCAGTTTCTCCAAGGTTGGCTGCCAAGGGCACTTAGTTTGGAATCCTATGTTCCATTTCTGGTGTCCCCACCTTGAACATGTTGAAATTGCTGGAATATTGCTAAAAGTGGTGTAAAACCATGATCTCACTTATTTGTTTAAAAATTGCAGTTTGCTATGAGATCTCCTTTTTAAAAATATTGTATGTTCTGTCTGAAGAAATTTATCTGTTTGAACGTTGTTTCATTGTGTTGCCAGTTGTGTCAACGCAGGGTTTGAGGACTTGTCCTTCAGGATGCTGAGGACACAGCCCAGTGCCGTGGAGCAGGATAGGACCATCACGTCCGAACAGCTGGAACAACAGCTGGAGGGCAGCGACCCACATCAGTGTGTCGTCATATCTCACACACCCTCAGTCCAGGTGAGCTAATGAACGATACATCGGTCCAGATGAGCTAATGAATGATACATCGGTCCAGGTGAGCTAATGGGTGATACATCAGTCCAGGTGAACCAATGGGATATACCATCAGTCCAGGTGAGCTAATGGGTGATACATCAGTCCAGGTGAACAAATGGGTGATACATCAGTCCAGGTGAACAAATGGGATATACCATCAGTCCAGGTGAACAAATGGGATATACCATCAGTCCAGGTGAGCTAATGGGTGATACATCAGTCCAGGTGAACAAATGGGTGATGCCATCAGTCCAGGTGAGCTAATGGGTGATACATCAGTCCAGGTGAACCAATGGGATATACCATCAGTCCCGGTGAACTAATGGGTGATACATCAGTCCAGGTGAACTAATGGGTGATACATCAGTCCAGGTGAACCAATGGGATATACCATCAGTCCAGGTGAGCTAATGGGTGATACATCAGTCCAGGTGAACTAATGGGTGATACATCAGTCCAGGTGAACCAATGGGATATACCATCAGTCCAGGTGAGCTAATGGGTGATACATCAGTCCAGGTGAACAAATGGGTGATACCATCAGTCCAGGTGAACTAATGGGTGATACATCAGTCCAGGTGAACCAATGGGATATACCATCAGTCCAGGTGAACTAATGGGTGATACATCAGTCCAGGTGAACTAATGGGTGATACATCAGTCCAGGTGAACCAATGGGATATACCATCAGTCCAGGTGAGCTAATGGGTGATACATCAGTCCAGGTGAACAAATGGGTGATACCATCAGTCCAGGTGAGCTAATTGGTGATAAATCAGTCCAGGTGAACAAATGGGTGATACCATCAGTCCCGGTGAACTAATGGGTGATACCATCAATCCAGGTGAACAAATGGGTGATAATATCAGTCCAGGTGAACTAAAGGATGATACTATAAGTCCAGGTGAGCTAATGGGGTATACCATCAGTATCAAGTGAACAAACTGTTGTACACCATCAGACCACATGTGCTAACTGATTGGTATATACAACAATAATTCCAGTGAGATAACTGCTGTGTCTTTTGAATCCATTTGAAATATCTGTGTGCGTGTGTGTGCCTGCGTGTGTGTGAGTGTGAGTGTGAGTGTGTGTGTTATTATTATTAACCCTGTGATTTATAATTCCTCACACACTTTCTCTCTACAAATGATTGTGCAGCATTATCTCCCTTTGATTCTTATCCCCTGTACATGGGTTTGTGTCCCCATTTATTATCCTTGGCCTGTCAGCACTAAATGGGGCACTGGTGGCCCAGTCATCAAACATGATGCAGAGTTGAATCCCTTGGGCATGCCAGAAACTTATGATCATGGGTTTGAATCCCGGATCACCCCAATTAAGCTTTTCAGTTTGTCAGTACCATACCAGTGCTCGTGTAAATGTCTGAGACCTGCAGACCGCCTCCGTGGTCTAATGGTAGAGCATCCGCCTGGAGAGCGGAAGGTCCGGAGTTCGATCCCAAACGCGTCATACCAAAAGACGTTAAAAGATGGTACTTGTTGTTACCCTGTCTGGCACTCGGCATTAAGGTGCTTAAACAAGGACTGGTCGGCTGGGAGTCAGTATACTGTGTCTGAGTGGGGTATTCATGTTAAACTGTGGCATGGTATTTCAGTGTGCTAGCACTATAAATCGGCATCAGTCCGGACTAGTACAAGCAGCCAAACACACACATACACATGCATGCACGTTGCTATATAAGTGCAATAATCTTGGACGCGACGTTAAACCCCATTTCACCCTACCTCACCTCTGAGACCTGCATCACCTAGGGCTTTCCTCACACATTAAACTGACACAACGTGATATTATTGACATATTGTTCAAAGCGGCATTAAACCCAAGACACTCGCTCAATACCAGCACTGTATTCATGCTCATTTCTTCCCTAATATGCTGACATGCTGTGATCATGGTGATAAAACTGACATACTGTTCAAAATGTGCTTTCTGCAATACTAGCATGTAGTGTGCAGTGTTTCTGTATCCTGGGTAATAACTGGATTATAACAAAGATGTACACTGTTCCTGTAAATCCTTGTAACAATGTTTACAAGCATTTCTGCCTGTTCTTCAAATGTACTATGATTATTATGTTATGCGTCTTCTGGATATAACTGGGTTATACCACACCACCACCTTTCCTTCTCTGCTACAGTATAAAGCAACTATGTAGACTGTCCTTGATGCTATGTTATGCTACATATATGTCTGTCCCGAGATGTACGATGCATTTATGTTATGAGTCTTCTGGATATAACTGGGTTATACCACACAACCACCTTTCCTTCTCTGCTACAATATAAAGCAACTATGTAGACTGTCCTTGATGCTATGCTACATATATGTCTGTCCCGAGATGTACGATGCATTTGTTATGAGTCTTCTGGATATAACTGGGTTATACCACACCACCACCTTTCCTTCTCTACTACAATATAAAGCAGCTATGAAGACTGTCCTTTATGCTATGCTACATATATGTCTGTCCCGAGATGTACGATGCATTTGTTATGAGTCTTCTGGATATAACTGGGTTATACCACACCACCATGGTTCCTTCTCTGCTACAGTATAAAGCAGCTATGTAGACTGTCCTTGATGCTATGTTATGCTACATATATGTCTGTCCCGAGATGTACGATGCATTTGTTATGAGTCTTCTGGATATAACTGGGTTATACCACACCACCATGGTTCCTTCTCTGCTACAATATAAAGCAACTATGTAGACTGTCCTTGATGCTATGCTACATATATGTCTGTCCCGAGATGTACGATGCATTTGTTATGAGTCTTCTGGATATAACTGGGTTATACCACACCACCATGGTTCCTTCTCTGCTACAGTATAAAGCAGCTATGTAGGCTGTCCTTGTTTCAATGTTACATCTATGTCTGTCCCAAGATGTACGATGTATTTGTTATTAGTCTTCTGGATATAACTGGGTTATACCACACAACCACCTTTCCTTCTCTGCTACAGTATAAAGCAGCTATGTAGGCTGTCCTTGTTTCAATGTTACATCTATGTCTGTCCCAAGATGTACTATGCATTTATGTTATGTATCTTCTGGATATAACTGGGTTATACCACACCACCACCTTTCCTTCTCTTCTACAGAGTTAAGCAGCTACGTAGACTGTCCTTGTTTCAATGTTACATCTATGTCTGTCCCCAGGTGTACTATGCATTACGGACGAAGTTGGAGTCAAGTGACGAGACCTGGTTGCAGGAGTTCATCTCCCTGTCGGGGCTCAACTCCCTCCTCGACTCCCTGTGTCAGATGACAGGGAAGGCCTTCACAGGGTTCTCCGACGCCATCCTCCAGATTGACTGCATCTCCTGCATCCGCGCCATTCTCAACACTCGTGTCGGCCTTGACCACTTCCTGTCGACGTCAACATGCATCAGGAAACTCACACGAGGTGGGAATCCTGAGTAGAAATTATTGTCATGAAAAGACAAATCAACTCGCAATATCCTTTCAGCAATGGCCCGTTCATGGAGCTCTATACCATTGCAGCCACCCAAAACAAATCTCCACTCTGCAAGGCATATGCAACCATGCATGAAGTTGAACTCACAATCAACTGTTACATTAACAGAAAACTATGACAGCAGGGTCACAGAGTACTTTTGCCTCTGTTGATTTGTCAATTTGTGTTCTGAAAATAAGTGATGAATTGGAAGATGTTTCTATTGTCTGTAATCTCAAACCAGTCTTATTATACAGACAAACAAATATTGTTGTCTGGGAAATAATAGGTCAGTCGTTAACCCTTTCACAAATCACAATAATCCCATTCTCCAAAGGGGTCACAGGTGGCCCAGTTGTATAAGGCACCATTATTCTTAGGCATGCCAGAAACCTTTGATCATGGGTTCTAATCCCAGTTCACTTCAATTGTGTTTCTAGGTTTGTCAGTACCATACTCATGCTCATTGTTTTCGCCAAAGTGGTAAACGTCTCAGACCTGCATCATTTGGGCTTTTCTCCAACATCAAGCTGACATGCTGTGATATGACTGGAATACGGTTCCAAGCGGCGTTAAACTCAAGTCACTGACTCACTTGCTCACTCACTCACTCACTCACTCACTCACTCATAAACACACACACAAAAATATATATGTACATACATTTTGAGTTTGAGAGAACAATTTCAAGGTTCTTGTAATGGCTGTGCATGCCAGTCCTAGCAATGATAACATGAGGGCAGCATCCCCATCATGCCCCTCAAGTGTCTTTGGAGTTACCTGTCCTTGTTTTGTACAAGTCTCAGGAAACACTCCTGTAGATACACACGTCCACTGCTTTCCAATATTTAGAATACAAAAACGATTACAGCATAATAAATGTTATACCTCCAATATGATAAACCTGTGATTGCATTGGTCCTGCATGCTACCTGGAACATATGTATTGTATGAAAACCAAACCAATCTAGATAATCAACAGGCAAGTCTAGCTAGCCCGAAGAGGAATTGTTGTTATAAAAAATTTCACACTATGTTTTTCTAGCATCGTGTTTTCACACAGTACTAAGGTGGTGGGGTAGTCTTGTTGTTATAGTTTCTTTCACTCTCAACACCTGGGTTTGATCTAGACTTCCCATGTGTGAAGCCCATTTCTGGTGTCCCAGTCATGGTATTGTAGGACAACAGTAGAACATGGATATAACGAACTACAAGGGACTGGAGAAATCAGTTCATTATATATGTTTTTGATCGAATTGTCCACCATCTTGGATAAAACTAAACACAACACACGTAATTGCAGCATTGACTTTTCTTAGCAGTCATCACTCCAAAGTATTCAAAAAATATTTCATAACATTCTTTTAATAACATTAAATTCATAACATTTTTTAAAACATTGTTTATCAAATATTATAACATTTCAAGATTTACATACGGGGAGATGTGCAATCGGTGATTTTGCTGTGGCCTTGTTTTGCTGACTGCATTCATGAAACCGCATCATTGAGATCAGCCAAACTATCGAATGATGTCATCTCAGTTGACTTTTGCGTATTCAGGAAGTCTTAAGTGTTTCAAGAGCCTTATTGGCATCGGCAAAGAAGGGTGTGGCTTGTTCCACAGAGTCAATCCCATCTTGCATGTCTTCATCATCGACTGGACAATGTCCTCATCACTCATTTCTCAGTTCACTTTACACATCACTAATAGTGGTATTTGGGCTTGTCGGGGATCAGATATCAGTTTGTTATGTACGTAAATTTTATATGATAATATAGAGATAAATCGTTGATGTTGTAATAGTTTGTTGTATCCGGTTGTTCGCTCTATCTGTGTTCTACTGTATTGCCAAAAGCGACTTTCAGTCATACCCTGTCGTTCACTCCTTCACACAACACAAATCTGTGTTTCAGCCCTGACCATCACCAATACGCTGCCCAAGAAGCAAGTTCTGGAGATCCTGTCTGCCATCATGGCGTACAGCACCCACGGCTACAAGCTTGTCATCGCTGCCCTGGAGCACTTCAAGGTGACGAGCTGGAATTACTTTTGATTGGACGTTTCAGATATTCATCTTCGCGAGGCAAGGGAGTGAACTGACTGCAAAAGTCCAGTGTGGCTACCCTTGACAAACTTGGCTGGAATTTCTGAGTTTTGGCTGGCCTAATGCATAGTCCAAACAAAATCGTGTAAAGAAATTGCCATCCAGTTTGTAAACAATGGTGACTGTCGTTGACTTTTGTTTACTTCGGGATTTGCAAAGCATGTGTACTGCCAACTGAGCATCGACACATTTTCTCTCTCTTTTCATGTATAAAATTAAGGTGCTCAAGTGATTTGATGTAATTTGCGAGGTAAGACACATTTTATTACAATATAGATTATCGATCCGAATATGTTGCTAGGTTTGTCAGTACCAAACCCGTGTTCATGTGTTTCGCCAAAGTTGTAAACGTCTAAGACCTGCTTCACAAGCTGAGATGCCGTGATAACTGGAATACTATCTGTTCAAGCAACGTTAGACTCCACTCATTCACTCGCTCAAAAAATTTGGAAGAATGATTTGGGGTGAAAGTTAAAAATCTCACACTCATATCTATTGATATCAAAAGCAAGCCTCAGAGTTTAAGATTGTTATCAACTTATTGATTGATATACAGTCAAACCTCATGTCAAACCTCATGTCAAACACGTTGGCACCTGGACATATTTTTATCTTTGATGTCATTGCAGCAACGTCAGTGAGGTCAGAAAATTGTGTGAGAAGTGAGTTGTATGTTTGGCAAGTGTGGGTGTGTGGACATTGTTTCTTTATGAACTGTTCCAGTCCTGGGAAAGAGCCACACAGTTTAATTTTACACACATAACTGAACCTTAACCTTTTGTTGCCATGGTTACAGAGAGAAGAAAACCAGAGCCACAGATTTAGTGTTGTGTTAAATGAGCTGAAAAGTGCCGAGACAGTCCCCCACAAGACAGCCGTGATGACCTTCCTCAATTGCATCCTAAACTGCAATGCTGACATCGCAGAAAGGACAAGATGCAGGAATGAATTTGCAGGTGAATTTCACAAGACGATAACAATAAGTTATTCATTCCGCGAAACATGAAACGCTTAAATGTTAAATGTCTTTACAAAACCAAAAGGCCTTAAGCATGGAAACATACTGGACAAGATATGACATATAAGGTCACATTTTAGTTTGGTTGACAGACTTCACTAACCAATTTTCTGGGTAAGTCAAAGTACTAATAGATTTGTGTTGATATATTCATAAATGTACTCATTAACAGGGCTCGAAAAATCCACTCGTCCGCTCGTATTGACGAGTGGTAACTGATGTCGGGCAAGCTAAAATTATTAAATACTCGTCCTGACGGACGAGCAGATACTCACAGCAGTTTAATTTATATTTGTTTTGATGTGCGATATATTGACACGGAAATCATGGCCATTCAGCCGATCGATATTTATGTCGCGTATAGCATTAACAATTAGGCTGAGGTTTGTCTCTTGATGTATCTTTGCGCAGGCTTTGCGCTGAAACCAGTCTTTATTTATTGATGTCAGCGGCCGGTTGCTAACTACCGGTGATTCGGTCAAGACACACCCAATGATATAACTTTATAGGATTTTAATGCAAGGATCGTCAAAAATTGTATTTGAAACTATTTTCTTTATCAGGAATAATATATTCCAATATCTTGTTAAATTAGATGCAGCTTTTACTCAAATTATTAAAATAATAATAACCCTAAGCGAAGCAGCTGATCGCTATTGCCGGTATTATTTTTTACATGGAACCAGTCTGACCAGTCACCGTCAAGGCTCCCGTGCACGTGATCGCGAGAATTACGTGTTGACATAGAATCGTCCAACAAAAACAAATATGACTTTTAACGAGTCACAGTATGGCATTTATGATATATGTATCCATTCTCTGTCAACTCTAAAGTTTGTTTCAAGGCGTCAATAGCGGTAATCTGACCGTGGTTGCTGTTAATAACGGTGAGTTGTGCGATCTTCCGATCGCTTCACACACGATTTCGCCGAAATTAATTAAAACAATATTAAAAGGAATTTTGAATAAAATAAGTTACAAACATAAGTCCAGATATACAAAGAACACTTTTTATAGCCAGACAGTGTAAATTACATGACTAATTTGCGTACTTCAGTATGGAATTGTTTACATGGTATTTCCGGTGTTACGGGCTCACGGTAATGTCTTTCCATGGGGGAAAAAACATCAAAACTCATTATTTCGTGTATAATGCGCACCCCCTTCTACACAGCTGTGTTTTTTGGATAAAAAGGTGCGCACTATACTCAAGAAAATACGGTAAACCAAAATGGCGGATATGAGAAAGATTTTCTTGTCGGAGGGTCGTGCCGACAAAAAGTTGACTGCACAGGCGGAGAAACGAAAACTTAGTCCAAAACAATATGGTTGAGTGAATTTGAATGGGCAAAATTTGACGATGATGACAGCGAGTTGTATTGCACTGTCTGTCGAAAATACCCCAAACTATCTGATCCCAAATGTGGACTCGTAACTGGTTTACATCATAATTTCAGAAAAAAAACTTTGAAATTTCACGCTAAAAGTAGGAAGCATATTCAGTGCTGTCAACATGATAAATTTTTTAACAAACCCCAGACTGCGCAGTTTGCCAAGTCAATGCAAAAAGTTGACAAAAAAAACAGTGAAGTTTATGAAAAGCTATTCACAACAGCCTACTATATTGCAATAGAAGGGGAACCATTTTCAAAATTTCCAAGTTTTTGTCAGTTGCAGTATAAGAATGGTGTAATACTTCGTACAAATTATTTGAATGATCATGCTTGCAAGGCATTCACCCAATCTATAGCAGATGTGTTGAAGAAAGAAACTGCTCAGGATTTGGAAAACAGTAGGTTTGTCAGTATTTTAGCAGATGGTTCAATTTATTATCCCCCGCCGCGCGAAAGCGCGAAGCGGGGGATATAGTATTCACGACCGTCCGTACGTCCGTCCGTACGTCCCACCTGTTTATTGCCGCGATATCTCAAGAACTAAACACTGGATTGTCTTCATATTTGGAACTATGGTGTATATACAGACTCCGCAGACACCAGTCGGTTTTGGTGACCTTGATCCCATTTTCAAGGTCACAGCAGACAAATCTGCTTTTAGAGTTGGAAAACGGTGTTGCCGCGATATCTCAAGAACTAAACACTGGATTGTCTTCATATTTGGAACTATGGTGTATATACAGACTCCGCAGACACCAGTCGGTTTTGGTGACCTTGATCCCATTTTAAAGGTCACAGCAGGCAAATCTGCTTTTGGAGTTGGAAAACGGTGTTGCCGCGATATCTCAAGAACTAAACACTGGATTGTCTTCATATTTGGAACTATGGTGTATATACAGACACCGCAGACACCAGTCGGTTTTGGTGACCTTGACCCCATTGTCAAGGTCACAGCAGGCAAATCTGCTTTTGGAGTTGGAAAACGGTGTTGCCGCGATATCTCAAGAACTAATCGCTGGATTGTCTTCATATTTGGAACTATAGTGTATATACAGACACCGCATACACCTGACAGATTTGGTAACCTTGACCCCATTTTCAAGGTCACAGCAGGCAAATCTGTTTTTGGAGTTGGAAAACGGTGTTGCCACAATATCTCAAGAACTAATCGCTGGATTGTCTTCATATTTGGTACTATGGTGTACAGGCGGGGGATATTTCGTCACTCTGTGACAAATACTTGTTTACTTTGTTTTGAGTGGTTACATGGTACATGATACATGATATTGTCTGTTCAGCATTGAGCAATAGGGCAAGTGAAAATTTGGCAGGACGAGTACAAAATGAAAAGTACTTGCCCTGCAGGACAAGTAGGGTTGAACAAATTTTTCGAGCCCTGATTAATATACATATAAATATGTGTTCTTTTTTATTGGGCATAAAGGTGTTTGGTGTTAATGATCCATTAGAATTGGTGTTCAGCAACCCATGTTTGTTTTGAGAGTCGACTTATGGGATTGGTGGCAAGGCTCGCAGGCTTGGTTGATGCATATCATTGTATCAGAATTGCATAGATTGATGCTCATCATGTGAATCACTGGATTGTCTGGTCCACACTCGATTATTTACTGCCCACTGTCATAGCTGGAATATTGCTGAGTGCAGCATTAAACACCAAACAAATAAACAAAACCCCTGCCAGGGAAGGCTTTGTTTTCTTCGTAAGGTATTTGCAGTTTGTTTATTCAAATAAAATGCGTCCAGCTTCGTATTATAGAAAAGAATGGATTAAAATGTATTCATTTGTTGTGGCTTTGCTTGTTGTATACGGCTGAGTTACAAGTGTTTGTTGACTGTGCAGGTCTAGGCTTGTTGGATGTGCTGAGTTTCCTGCAGAGGGAGGAGGTGGATGATGATCTTCACATACAGCTGCAGGTACATTGTCATAGTGTTCACTTTCTCATGTAACTCACTGACTTGCATCACTGGGGTTTACGACACATACACTGGAGGTGACATTGTGTCTTGTGCAGAAAGGGAAGTCCATTGCGACATGTTTCGTCACATGCCATTTTAGGTCTTTAGCCTTTAGGCATTGCTCAATGTCTTCCTTTAAGGTCATGTAACCTTAGAGACAGTTTTATGGCCTTAGCATCTGTAATACTGAAACTGTGGCTCAAGTTGACAGAGCTCCAGATAAGCTTTTGGTGTTGTGGGTATTTTACCCATGCATTTTAAAATCATTGGGTACGTATGAGTAATTCTATCTGGGTATTCAAACTTCTGTTACCCACTAGTTTTTACACATGTGGGTATTAAAGTTAAATATTTAAAAACACTATTCATCTAGTCCCTGCAAACTGGTGTCGTGTGGGTTCGAGAGCTTTATAGGACTAAAAAATACCACGATACTTCCACAAGAAAGTGTGATGGCAAATGGTCATGATGTAACTGTCATCGTGGAGTTTGGCAAGGATGATGGAATGCCCGTATATAATTTCAAAATAAGTTGCTGATTTGCTAATCGAATATGCAAGGGTTACTTCACAATATTTGGATTTTATTTTACTGCATATTTCTGCATTTCTGATGCATATTTTACGCAGATATGCAGCTTATCTGGAGCTCTGAGTTGATGCAGGTGTGTTTTTGGTTCCAGACTTTCCACTCCAGGAAACATCAAGATGAGGAAGAACTGGCAGCAAAATGTGACCTTGACCTCAGTAGTCCTCATGACCTTGTTGATAAGATACAAGAGAAAGTAAGCTCATTTGAACATATATTTTAAAAAAGAATGTGCTATGTATGTGTGTTTTTGTTGTGTAACACTGCATTAAACAATATTCCATCTATGGTAGGCAGCCTTTAAATCAAGTCTAGACTGGACAATCCTGTGATTGACTTCATATTTTTTTAAGCATCGATCAATGCATTTATGATACGATGACATGCAATCAACCAAGCCTCACATTTCATGCATGGGTTGTTTAGGACCAGTTTTCTTACTGTCAATCTCGACCCAGGGAAGAATAGGTCTTCAGCAACCTATGCTTGCCCTATAAAGCGACTCTACTTGTCGTAAGAGGCAAATAACGGGATCGGGTGGTCAGACTCGCTGACTTGCTGATGATGCATGTCATCGTATCCCAATTGGATTGTCTGGTCCAGGCTCGATTATTTACAGACCACTGTCATATTGCATACCACTGGAATATTGCTGAGTGTGGTGTTAAACACACAAAAAATCAACAAAAACAACTGGGAGTCCCAACAGAAATACTAGACAGTACTAATATAAGACCTTGTACCTATACCTGTATACAGATTCTGACAATAACATTGCATTATCTAAAACGATATGTCGACATATCAACTTGACAAGATCGGCTTAATCAGAATAGCTATTCATGACAATCAAGAGATGATATTTGTACAAAGGACATATATATAATCTTTTGTTTCTAGGTGTTTGGCAGTTCAAAGATGGCCTCTTTTGTGAACATTCTTCAGGATTTGTTGGCCATGGAGGCAAGCAGCCAAAGGTATTGTCCACTGCAGATATTGAATTAATTGAATGAATCAATTCCAGCAAAACTGGTAAACATCCATTCACCAATATGATGAGGTAAACCTGGACTGACTTCTAATAAAGTTATCAGGCCTTATATTTTCTGTAGACCCATGAAGATTCGGGGTAGAATAGGTCTTCAGCAACCCAGGCTTGCCGTAAAAGGCAACTATGCTTGTCGTAAGAGGCGACTAACGGGATCGGGTGGTCAGGCTCGCTGACTTGGTTGGTGCATGTCATCAATCCCAATTGGGTGGATCGATGCTCGCAAACGCACACATCTATATATAAGTGCCATTGTATGGAAGGCGACATTAAACCCCATATCACTTCACCCGATCACAAAGTGACAATGTCTCCGATTCACACGGCACTATTTATTACTTCTAGTCCAATACTGAAAATGGGTTCCAGGCTATGAAGCATAGTCCCTCTTCAATCTCATTAAAATCAGACCTTAGTTCTCGCTACCGCTAAACAAAGATCTGAAGACATCCCATTAGGGGTCACGTCAGAACGACCTTTCATCCGACCAATCAGTGCGTCGCTTACCAGATTATGAAAGTGACAGTCGGAATGTGATTTCTAATCATGGAATCTCGAAAACTGTATCATGGGATATTCGGAACGATAGTTACGGGTTCAATGAATGAATCCTTACAATCTAGACCATCTATTAGCCATGCCAGAATGTTTTTTTGATCAGGTTTCAAATTTGTAATCGAGAATTTGTCAAAATGTTTCGAAGTGTAGTCGCCAGTTTAAAATTTGTACCGTAAAGCACAAGAAAACTGCCTTCTGATTGGTCATTCCATTAGTCGGTCAAAGTTCGCACAAGGTCGGTCTGACTAGACCCGTAATGGAATGTCCTCAGATCTTTGTTTAGCGGAAGCGAGAACTAAGATCTGATTTTAATGAGATTGAGTCCCTCTTTAACATTTAAACTGATCAGTGTGTTGTTCCTACACTTCCCATGTGTTCCTCAAACCATTAAAGGTACAAGCATCAATTTAAATGTGCATCAGTTTGTGTAGCAAGATGCTGTTGCAACTTATTCAAGATATACTTTAAAAAAGTGGAGGACCACCATGTACTGTATGGACTATATTGTGAGCCACATCACAACCCCAAATTATTGAGCCATCCCTGGCATTGGGATATAGCACCACTTGTACCAGCATCATCAGCTAGTAAACATGTAGACACCATGTACACATTGCCTCCAGTTCTCTCTGCATGTGATCGCCCCAGTGGTCTAGTGGTAGAGCATCCGCCCAGAGAGCAGAAGACGATAAAAGATGGTACTTGTTGTTACCCTGTCTGGCGCTTGGCATTAAGGGGCTAAAACAAGGACTGATTGGCTCGGAGTCAGTATGCTATGTCTGAGTAGGGTATTCATGTTAACATGCGGCATGTTATCTCAGTGAGCTGACTAGTCTGGACTAGTACAAGCTGCCACAAACACATACACACGTGCATGCACGTCGCTTTATAAGTACAATAATCTTGGACACGAAGTTAAACCCTATTTCACCTTTCTCTGCATGAATTACCTTACACCTCCCATACTGAATTATGACGGGGCAGTGGGGTAGCCGAGTGGTTAAAGCGTTCGCTCATTACCGATTCTTTTATGTTACTAAAGTTAATCTTTCATGTCATTACAATAGTAATATGAAAAACTTTGGTGTCTTTGTTTTGAAGTTCATCATTTAAATCATGGCAGTAAAGTATCCAAATAGTTGAACTTTTACTAGTCACACAGAAAACGTAAGGTCAATCCCAGCTGGGAACAATGTGTGACGCCTATTTTTGATGCCCCATGTACTTGCTGGTGTACTGTTAAGAGTTACCATTTGGCATTTTAACCCCAGTGAGAAGATGTGGACAACCATTGAGAACCAGATCCACCACCTCATCCATGGATCGGAAGGTGAGGACCGTCTGGCGAGGGTATCCCCCGAGGAAATCGAGGCCCTGCTGACACCAGACATCAACATGACCAACACTGTCCAGCGGAAACTGACCGAGAAGGGCTTGAACACACCTACAAAGAAGCTGAATGAAAGTGACTACGAAAATTGGAATCCGACGCCCAAAAATAAGTTACTCAATGACTTGAACACTCCAACGAGGACGAAGTTGAGTTGGAATAACAATTTCAACAGCTTGTTGAAGAAGAAGGAAAGCTTTGAGGGGAAGTCTGTGTGTGGCGACTCCTTCAGCACACAGCTGGTGCCCCTGCCTAAGAAGCCCATGCGCAATCTGAAGTGGATTACATTCGAGACAGAGGCTGTTGGTAAGTTGGCATCTACAGTGTTGTAGTTAGGGGATAAACGTCATGTGTTTTTTGATTGGAGTATTTGATGCCTGGAAATGTCATAATTCAAAAGGCCAAATTTGTGGACCGGTGGTCAAAGCTGCCACAATTTAACAAGGCCCAAATTTTGGCCCAGTGGTCGAAGCTGCTATCATTTAACAAGGCCCAGATTGTGGCTCAAAGGTCAAAGCTGCCATAATTCAACAAGGCCCAACTTGTGGCCCGGTGGTAAAGGCTGCCATCATTTAACAAGGGCCAAATTGGGGTCAAAGGTGACACGATTTTATGTAGTCAAACTTGTGGTCCGGTGGTCAAAGCTGCCACAATTATTATGGATAATATAAAGAATAACCTACTCGCAACTAGGAATTACAGAGTAGGTGCTTTTATGAAGGTTCCACACCAAGGAAATAATCTGTAATTCCTCATTGCTCAAAGGGTTTTATCTCAGTAGTGCCTTGAGCATTCATTTAGAATGGTGAATGGAATGGCATGTTATGAATGGGTGATGTTTTTGTTGACATGTCCGAGATTGCTACCATGCTTGTGTTACACAGAGAGTCACCCCAGCTGCATCTGGCAGAAGATCGAGAACATCCCGCGGATACAGCCGGACTACAGCCACATGGAGGACATCTTTAGTGAGACACACGTGTTTGAGGAGTACGAGGAGGTACAGGTCACTGGTTATTTGTTCATAGGGGTCGCACATTGTGGTAGAGGGTCACAAAGAAACTGGACAATCACTTTCATGCAGGGATGAAACATGTCCAACCAATGCACTTGAAAGGGCATGAATACCTGTTCCCACATTGACCACTGGTTGTCTTGTCTTGGGTTCATTAAAATACATGTCACTGGAAGGCTGCTGAATTGTGCCCATGGCTCAATAGAGTGAGGTCAGGTGAAATGGGGTTTAACATTGTGTTCAAGAAATACTGCATGCACAAGACATGTGACTCTACGCTGACCAGTCCTTGTTTTATCCGCTTTATACGTCACTATATAAGTGCAATAATCTTGGAAGCGACGTTAAACCCCATTTCACCTCACCTCGCCTTATCCGCTTAATGACAAGCACTGGGCAAGGTAACAACAAGTACCACTTTTTAACATCTTTTGGTCTGGCGCAGCCGGGGATCCGACCACTGATCTTCCACTCTCCAGGCAGATGCTCTAACCACTAGTCCAAGGAGCATTTGAACTCTAATTCTGAACCAGTTCTCTATGCTTCGATTTTGTCTCTTTCAAGCAGTACTAGCTACAAACAAAACAAGGTTATATCTAGTCCTCTGGACTTGTATTTGAAAAAAAGTAATTCTAGGACTGCTCACTAGACCAGAGATGGAAGCTGTGTTCTAGCACTCTGTATCATAGACCTTGGTATATGAAGCACTAATAAAATCTTATGTGAATGCCTCTTGCTGCATATCTGTATACACGAGGATGCTCTTGTCTTTCACACAGGTCCCACTGCTGAGTCAGACCTCTAGGCTGAACATCAACCTGTTCATCAACAGACTGGAGGTAGAACCAGAGGAGCTTGTGAGGAACCTGATAGATGGAGAGCCATCTAGTCTGACCCTGCCCATGCTGAGATACCTCACAAAGATTCTCCCAGAACATGAAGAGGTAGGCCTAGTGATACTCTAAACTGCGAGATCACAGGTTGACCTTAAAAACATTGGATAAACAACTATTGTTGCAAAGGGTTCTACTGTGGTCTTCGGCACTCTGTCAAGTGCAGTGAAATATTGTTGCCCAGGGCCCTGTTTCATAATGTTATTGACCCGTGAAGATCCAGTTAGAGAATAGGTCTTCAGCAACCCATGCTTGCTGTAAGAGGCGACTAACAGGATCTGGTTGATGCATGTCATTGTATCTCAATTGCGTAAATCGATGCTCATGATATCAATCACTGGATTGTCTGGTCCAGACTTGATTATTTACAGACTGTCGTCATATAGCTGGAATAGTGCTGAGTGCAGCGTTATTCACTGGATTGTCTGGTCCAGACTTGTTTATTGACAGACTAGGGTCACATAGCTGGAATAGTGCTGAGTGTGGCGTTAAACAACAAACAAACAAAATCATAAAGTTATTGTTGATGTAACTCCTGTAATTTAAGATAGACTTATGATAGTCATAGCGCTAGGAATTGTAGGTGTACAATGGCAACCTTGAGATGATGTGTTGTATTCCTGCGTTCAGGTGCAGATGTTGAAGGCGTACAACGGCAACCTACTTGAGCTAGGTCTAGCCGAGCAGTTCCTGCTGCATCTGTCAGACATCCCCAACTACCGCACCCTCATCAACGGCCACCTGACACGGGCAGAGTTCACCTCCAACATCATGAAACTGAAGACAACACTGACAGCCATGGTGGCCAGCTGCAAGTTCGTCCTGTCCAGCTCCGACCTCCGAGAGTTCCTGCAGCTGGTGCTACGTGTGGGGAACTTCCTCAATCATGTACGTCTCATGCATCAATGTCTTCTGTTATCAATGCAAGACAACATTATGAGGCTCTTTGTTTATTATTTTTTGGTTTAAAGTTCTGACGACTCAATGTTTCACAAAAGTTTTTTCTCCTACCTGCAGGATCTGTTTACCAGTTTTAGTTGAAGAAATATGCATTGTTAAACAGAACTATTTGACTTTTTAAAAACATCTGGATTATAAGATGACATTGGCATTTGTTCCAACAGAGTAAGTTCAACGGCAACGCTGCTGGGTACAAACTGACAAGCCTGGACCGTGTGAAGGATGTCAAGTCCTCTGTCCTCAACAAGACGTTGATGCACTACCTGGTGGAAGTGGCCACAGAGAATGATGACTCAACCCTCAGCTTCCTCACCGAGATCCCCAGACTGGAGAAGGCTGGCAGGTAGGGAGATGTTTCTTGTTGTCCACAGGTCATATGCTGATGGTCACAATTCATATTGTAATGGGGCGGTGGGGTAGCCTAGGTGTTAAGGCATTTGCTAGTCACGCAAAAGACCCAGGTTAATTTTTTTGCAACATGGGTACAATGTGTGAAGCCCATTTCTGGTGTCGCCCTGCTGTGATGTTAATGGAATATTGCTATAAGCGGTGTTAAACCGTAATCACTCAGTCATGTTCTATTGGCCACATCTCATGTTCTGATAGCCACAGGCCATGTTCTGATGGTCACAGCTCATGTTCTGATGGTTACAGGTCATGTTCTGATAATCACAGCTCACGTTCTGATGGCCACAGCTCACGTTCTGATGGCCACAGCTCATGTTCTGATGGCCACAGCTCACGTTCTGATGGTCACAGCTCATGTTCTGATGGCAACAGCTCATGTTCTGATAATCACAGCTCATGTTCTGATAATCACAGCTCATGTTCTGATGGTCACAGCTCATGTTCTGATGGACCGCCTCCGTGATCTAGTGGTAGAGCCTCCACCCGGAGAGCAGAAGGTCCGGGGTTTGTTACCCGGCCACGTCATACCAAAAGACGTTTAAAGGTGGTACTTGTTGTTACCCTGTCTGGCGCTCGGAGTCAGTATACTGTGTCTGTGTGGGGTATTCATGTTAAACTACGGCATGGTATCTCAGTGTGCTTAAATCAACATGCCTCAAGCCCAACGACAACTTATTGAAACAGAACTTTTAGCAGAACTGTAGTATATCTGGATAAGATGCACTTTGAACAATTGACTTGCCTTTGCATGTGTTTGTGACAAGTGCCACTGGTGGGTCAGGATACACTCAAATTTTTGTGAACAACTGGTATCATTACTATTTGATAGTGATTCAGAAATATGCTCATGAAAAATTCAGAATTGTACAAAGGACTCTTCTTTTAGCAAAGATTTCTTATGGTTATCAAATGAGGTTTATCGCTTTTATTAATTAATTTTTGTATTATTGTTTATGACCATGAATGTTGGTGGTTGCAGCTACTCCCCAGAGGACATCAAGAAGGATGTGACGAAGATGAACCAGCAGCTGAAGCAGTTTGTCCAGCAGCTGTCCTCAGCTCACCCCACCATCCAGGACGTCTTCCACTTCTTCATGGAGGTAGGTGTCAGTAAGAACTGAAGTGTCCTTCACACACGACAGAAAAACTTTGGGATTATCTTGACCCGCTCCGTGGTTCGATCCCCATGGTACTTCTTACTACTCAAAAGAAGTTAAAGAACACTGATTGTTTTCATCTGACTCAAGTTAATCTCTCTGGTGGGTATTGCAAACACGCAGCTTCCAATGGTGAGTGTTCCTTAACTTGTTTATATATCTTTGTTCTTGTAACAGGATGTGAAGCGAGACTTCCGTGAGATGCAGGCATCAATCTGTGAGCTGCGGAGTCTCTCACACCAGATGGCAGACTACTTCTGTGAGGCGGAGACAGACTTTGACCTTCAGGGCTGCTTCAAACATCTGCACGCATTCTGGAAACAGATCCGGAAATGTCGTCAGGTGGGCAAAAAATGTTCAGTAGTTACCAAAATATCCTAGTATCTAATGTTCCCGAAACTGTAAGAACAGAAAATATTTTATAATATAAAACTTTGTCCAAACGATTTCTCTTAAACTATTCAGTGGATTCATCTCAAACTTAGTACATATAATGGAGGGGTTTAGTCAAAAGAAAAAAAATGTTTTTATGAATTTTCCATTTTTTTATGAATTTTTCAAACCCTAACCCTATCCATTATTTAATTTCAAACAACTGACACACTTGGCGGGTCGGCACTTTTACCCTTGTTTGACAATGGTTTATGCATGTAATATATCTGTTTCTTAAGCCTTGTGTTAGGAACAGGTTGGAGTTTCATCAATGATCAATGAAGATGATTTTTTCAAATAATGAATCATTGATTATATTTACCCTGTGGGGTTTTGGGTAGAATAGGTTCCCAGGAACCAATGCTGGTCATAAGAGGTGATTAAATGGTTCGGAAGGTCAGGATCGGTGACTTGGATGATTGCGTGTCATCGTACCCCAACAGCATGGATTATTGCTCACAATATTTGTTGCAGACATGATTATTTACAGGCCACCGTCCTGTAGCTGGAATATTGCTGACTGGTGTTAAACAACAAATATACAGATGTTGATTTTATTTGGTTGATAATAATTTGTAAATTTTCCTGTTATATTTGAAAGCACATATTTTTATAATGATTATGATTATTTGAACTTTTCTTTAAATGTCTTATTTGTTGCATATTAATGATTATGTTTAATCTGTAATTAAGTATGTGAAATGAATGGCCTAACATGATACTTAATGAGTAAATACAGTTAAAATCAAGAAGTCAGGTTGGGCATATTGCAAGGAAAAGAAAGTCTTTTAATTCTAAATATTATTTCTTTAGGAGAACAGTTTGTTTGGGCGTCAGGAGAAGATGGTACAGCGTCGTAGTGACGAGTTCAAGACCAAGATCAAACACAAGAGGCTGGCGCTAGAGTTTGGGCAGGAAGCTAGTAAGATTCTTGTTTATTAATTATGTTTCCTGCAGTCTTAAATTTCCAAATTTGGTGCTTCAGTGACCAATATGATGTCCTATATGCAATTCCCTATGTTCTTGTGTTTGTTTTTAACACCTGTCTGGCCATTGCATGTGTTTGTGACAAGTGCACATGGCTGCTTTAATGTGCCATCTGTATAGTAAATCTGTAATTCTCTTGACTGTTAGAAAAGGATGTTTTATTACTTAGTTTTAAACTTTGAAAAATTGTAAAAGAAATTATTGAAGAAAACATTTTAGAGAGTGTATTAGATTCAAAATATGCCTATTTGACATCTTTTTGTTTGGATTTTCGTAACTTTAATTTGAAGAGTTATGTTCAGGAAACTAACCTGAGACAACTCAATTTTGTTTTTGTTTCTTGACCATGTGACACCTGCTACTTGTCATATTGACCTTTTACACATGAAGACTGATCTATCTTTATATAAGCGAGAACCTGTGAAGATCTCTGTTAAAATTGGTCTTTAGCAACACACGCTTATCATAAGAGGCAACTAACTGGATCAGGTGGTCAGGCTCACTAACTTGATTGAAGCATGTTATCGTATCCCAATTTGCTTAGATCGATGCTCATGATGTTTAAGTAATATTTCCAATTCATCTAATAATATTACAAATCTTAATAAATAGTGATAAAAGTCTGTTTCCACACTTTAAATGTACACAGATATCCAAGTTAGAGAAGAATAGAAAGCTACAGTTCCAGGACACTATCTCAACATATAAAACTACTTTTACAATTTGTGAAAGTAGCGACTGTGCTTGTTGTAAGAGGTGATTAACGGGATCGGGTGGTCAGGCTCTGTGACTTGCTTGATGCATGTCATCGTATCCCAATTGCGTGAATAATGCTCATGATGTCAATCACTAGATTGTCTGGTCCAGACTTGATTATTTACAGACCGCCGTCATATAGCTGGAATTGCTGAGTGCGGCGTTAAACAACAAGTCATAATATTTTTGTTATAAAGGACTGATTTCTGTATTTCAGAGGCCAGCTCTTCCATGCGAGAAGACAAGAGGAGAATCCTTGAGAAGATCCTCAATGATCTTCATCATGCGAACTTCACCCCAACAGTTGCATCCCTCATAGCAACACCGCAGGCCGAAGTGACGAAGAGGAAGCAGTTCCTTCCAGCACAGAAAGAGCTGAAGACCCCTGAGAATGAGTTCCACCCGCTGGACTTGAGTCGGATCAGTGTGGCCGGAACGCCGATGGTGAACCGTCCGAGGAGTGAGGCGTTCGATGACGACTTCCCCAACTTCGGTACCAAGGTGCCACAGAAAGTCATGACCAGTTCAGGTACGTGGTTACTGTCAGGGTTTTAATGCTGTCGAATGGTTTGTATATTTTCTGTAACATGTGGAAAGAGGTTAATTTTTTAATTGATTTTTTAAACTTTAAAGTCAATGACCTATGATGCAATTTCTGCTGCTATTTGTTACTTTTTACCAACAAGTAATGCGAGTTTGATGACTGTTAGTGTAACCGGAGTGGTTTATGTGAATGAATCACCAAACGCAGGTTGATTTGTTGATGCCAGTTGTTTTAATACAAAATAAAACGGCCCTGTGAAAATAAATACACAGAGTTACAATATGCACAATACGTACACATACAAATAAATCATTACATTATAACTTACTGACAAACATTAGAATCTTAAATATGATTATATACATTGTTATGATCAATCATAGTTAGCATAATTAGTTTTGTCTTACTGTACTGTAAATATTACAGGAGATTTATCATATAATAAATTGACAAACATAGTTTATCAATAATAGGTGAATGATGATAAATGCATTAATACATAACACACAATTAAAGTACATATCACTATAAATACATACAAAATATAAATGTCCTCACCAGGTGTATGGCACTGTGCCCTATGATGTCACAACATCAGATATTTGCTTTACAGGGACACACCTGAACATAAATATATATAACATAATTACAGTGTAACATATTACATCAATATGTTTACATCCTTAGGTATATACAATAACCCTAAAATATATATTCTAATTACTCACCTCATCATACAGACATACAGACATACATTCATACATGTGCAGCTAGGTGCAGAACTTTAATTTACAGGTAAATAGCTCCAGTCTATCAATAAATGTACTCATTATGCTTAGTTACACAATAAGTTAAGTAATATCAACATGAAAATGCTAGTTAAGATTATCTATTATAAACATACTTACATAAGGTATTTAAGCAAATTTAGCCTAACTACATTTACCTGAATACGATGACTGATATGATATATATTTATCACACCTAACAATATAAGCATTATTAAAAGAAGTTAAGAAACCATACATATGCACCTTAACAAACTCTTCAAAGCACTAAATAAGAACACATAAATATACAATTCAACCAAACTAACCTGTGACAATTGTCTCAATTATATCAGCGATGAACCGACTACTCCATACATAATCAACTACAATAATAAATTATTGCTCTTGTTGACCGCTTATTAAATATTATTCCTGAAATGTCTACCGCACATTTTGTCATAAGGCTACAACATTCAGGTTTTGAAATGCAAATCTGCTATTATTTATGATCCACAATTTCACTGTGCAAAGTTGTGTCACCTTGGGTATCCTATGATCTTAGGTTTGAATCTCTGGTTAACAATCAGGGCGGTGGGAATAGTGGTTAAAGCGTTTTGCTCGTTACGCCGAAGTCCCGGGTTTTATTCCCCACATGGGTACAATGTGTGAAGCCCTTAGAATAGGTCAACCCATGCTTGTCGTAAGAGGCGACTAATGAAATTGGGTGGTCAGGCTCACTGACTTGGTTGATGCATGTCATGATATCCCAATTGCATCTATAGATCGATGCTCATGTCAATCACTGGATTGTCTGGTCCAGACACGATTATTTACAGACTGCCATCATATAGCTGGAATATTGCAACAAACAAGCACTCACTCGCTCTGCCAGCAAAGGCATGAAAGATGACAGCAGCTGTAAGGACAAATGTATTTCCTTAGGTCCCCTTGATGTAGAGTTTGTTCAACCAGAAAGTATCTTTCCTCTGTGAACAGAGAACAACCTCCTGGATGAAGATCCAGTGTGGATGAAGCGACCTACAAAAGTGAGCCTGCCGAGACGACACTCGCATTATCGAAGTCGCAGTGACCTTGGTGAGTCCATGTGTGGCACCACGAAGTGGGTGAAATATGAGGAGATCAAACTAAAACAGAATCACACTGAAATCGGACAAGCTCCATTAGCCAAACCTGAAAGTTGTTGTACCCTAGCAACCCTCCATCTTGAAGATAACGGCAAATTCACATATCAAGAAGAAATGTCTGTTCATGATGGACCAATGCTTGTTGTTCCTAAATTAGATGGCAAACAATCAAGAAAGCTGGAAAAGAGGTCATCAATTAGTAACTTCTTCAGCAAAATCTCTCGTCGGGTTCTCCGTCCGAAGAACGTGAACACATGTTACAACACCAACAACTCTTCAGTGTTCATGGATGATGGAGGTACAAAAGCATTTCAAAATGGCCGCCGCTATTCTTCTGAGAACAAGGAGAATATCAGTGGTGGACTGTCAAAGAATGAAATGGCGTTGGAAAAACGGTATGCTGAGAGGGAATATCGGCGCTTCAAGGCTCAAAGACAGAAGTGCAGCAGAGAAAAATTTACATGAGTTGAATTGCCATGACATGACACTTGTCAGTGCTGGGTTACAACTGTTGCTATATGTATATTTGACATTGATGGATGTAATTATTCTTTGTAGTGTGCTAAAGCTCTTTGGTTGTGTTCTGAAGATCTTTTGATGTTATGTGCTAACGTCTTTGGTTGTACGTGTTGTGCTAAAGTGTAAACGACAACCTATTTTTTATGCATTATTGCTTAGATATAGATATGACTTTATTCTCCTTTGACAATCTTTGGATTCTCTGTCTCTTGTCTTTTAGAATCTTATAACTTTTTTTCTCACTTTTTTCCTCTGTATGTATAAAGGGTGTACATTTACATACAATTTAATTTATTCATGCTTGTGAATTATTTTGTGCTTGTGCTTAGTTTGAGTTTGGCCTGTTCAGACCAAGGCCTTATTTCACAAAGCGTTCTTAGCGCAGCAGCAGTCGTAAGCCCATTGCTGAAGTATTAGAGTTACAATCACCTTAGCGTTAAGAAAGCTTTGTGGAACAGGGTACTGTATTTATTTTTGTTCAAAACTTGTCATCTTCTTTTACAAGTTTGTGCAGCACAGATGTCATTAAGGAGATATCGCTACAATGAATTTGCATCACAATGTTTTGTAGACCATCAAGATGTCATCTGTTATCATTACATAACAATATAATGACATCACTAATCTTTCTGCCACTGAAGCTAGTTTATATAATAGATGTGGTTGTTGCACTCAAGACACTGGTTATTACTGTTTTATAAAATGTTGGAAGAATTATTTTGGATGATAACTAGAAACTCACCTTTGTGTCTTTGGATATGAAATATATTAACACTCATTGATAAAAATTTAAGCGCCTTCAAGTTTTAAACCATCGACTTGTGTTGATATATTTATCAAAGGACACTCAGGTGAGATTCTCCAGATAGCTCTGTCTGGTGCTTAGTGTGGTGGTACTGAGGCAGATACACTACTACAATATGTTAAAGGGGGACAAGGCTCAGGTTAAATGGCAGTCCTTGCAAATTTGACATTGTACTTGACGATAACCTTGAATTTGATAGGGCACTATTTTGTTTCTGTATGTGGTGTTGTCATCACTGGTCCAACCATATTAAAACTACATGTACCTGAAAATATAATTGGAGAGTTGGTTTCTTCCACTCGACCTTGATATGATGACATCTGGTACATTTCTACAGCTCAGAGACCATATAGCAGTAGAAACCATCTACCAGTGTATGGTCTTTGTACAGCTGTAATTTCAAAGAAAGGTTGACAGACTATTTCCACGGACCTATATATAGGTCCGTGCTATAACCAAACTATACATATTATGGCTCTCCATCTAACAGGGGCGGTCTGGTAGCCTAGTGGTTAAAGCGTTCGCTCGTCATGCTGAAGACCTGGGTTTGAATCCCGACATGGGTACAATGTGTGAAGCCCATTTCTGGTGTCCCCCGCCGTGATATTGCTGGAATATTGCTAAAAGCAGCGTAAAACCAAACTCACTCACTCACTCTCCATCTAACACAAGTTTTAACCTGGGGATGCAAACACAGGAAGTAGAATGTTGCTGTTACACAGCAATCCATACCGTATATCCTCGATTAAGAGCTGGACAGGATTAATGAGCGCCTGGGCTGGGATAAGGTATTAAAATAAGAACCAGCCACTAATAAGGATGGGGTCGTTGGCTAATAACTTCTCCCTGTTAAATAGGAGTACCACTAATGTTATGATTAAGCCATCTAATGAATATGAGCTTGGACTCTCACAGGGGACAGGTCAAGTAAACTGAAATTAATAAGGGCCCTGGCTCTTAATTGGGGAAATATGGTTTGTAGATGTCATGTGGAATACGCACATGACTGTCGTCACATGAAACTACTTGTAGCTGAATGGACAGATACTACTCAAAAGAAGTTATAGAACACCCAATTTTTTCATGACTAGTGGGGACACGGGTGGCCCAGTCGTCTAAGGTGCCACGATTCGCTGTGCAGAGTTGCATCCCTTGGGCACGCCAGAAACCTATGATTGTGGGTTCGAATCCCGGTTTGCCCCGATTATGATTCTAGGTTTGTCAGCACCATACCCGTGCTCGTGGGTTTCACCAAAGTGGTAAACGTCTGAGACCTGCATCACTTCGGGCTTTTTGCCCACATTAAGCTGACACGCCGCGATATAACTGGAATACTGTTAAAAGCGGCGTAAAACCCAACTCACTGACTCACTCATATGACTAGTTGATTTATCATGACATGACAGATTGACTATAGTCATATTAAAAAGTTCTTTAACTTCTTTTGAGTAGTATATGTCATAAACATTGCTACCATATATGTACATATTTCATTTTAAACCCTATACTAGTCTTTACATTTTTGTTTTTTTGTCCTTAATGGCTGTTTCAGCTATATTATACTGATGGGGGAAAGTAAGGGAACACAAATTAATATATCACTTCATTCGTGACCAACTCGTGTTATTCCGGGACAAGACGAATAACGACTCGTGCCCCTCTCATGGCCATTTTTGCGACCAGGTTCCGTCTTAGCGCAAACGGGCATACCTAAAACAATTGTCAACCAATTGCGTAATGGTTCACACATTTTCCCTATATATTGTATATGTTTCAGATGCAATTTAAAGCGCATCGGGACGTGCGGAATTATACAGTATGATTGAACACATTTATTTGTGCCTTTGGTATATTTTTAGATGCAAGACATATGTAAAATCAAAATTATTTCTGAGGGATTCTTTGACGAAGAACTTGAAATCATACGTTCATTCTAATTGGTTTGTCGTATTTTCTCACATAACATTCATCGATAGGGGGACCAGTCTTCTTGCAAGTTACGGAAAGGGGCGAGTGGTGACGAATGATATCACTTCTGTGTTCAAAATGAATGCTCCATGTACATGAAATACAACACCGGTAGTGTCTGATGTGGAGCTACATGACTTTAGACATGGTCTTTGAATGGGAGATGTCACATGCTGTGTCAGTATATGTTCCTTTATTTCTTCCCATGAGTATAAGTGCTGGTTGTGATGATGTGATGTGATGCTGTCAATTGAAGTTGAGGTGGCTATATCAATGTTGTGGAGAATAGTACAGGGATCTATCTAGACCTGCTTTGAGGCTGATTTTTGGCCCCAAGTCGTCAGCAAATGTCTGTAAAAATTCTCAAATTGGAATTGCAAAGTTGTTATATAGTTGTCACTAATGTTATGGCTTTGTAGAAGTAGCTTGTAGTCACTGACCAATCTCTCTCTCTCTCTCTTTCCTCTCTCTCCCCTCTCTCTCTCTCTCTCTCTCTCTCTCCCCTCTCTCTCTCCCCCTCTCTCTTTCCCCTCTCTCTCTCCCCCTCTCTCTCTCTTTCCCCTCTCTCTCTCTTTCCCCTCTCTCTCTCTCTTTCCCCCCCTCTCTCTCTCTCGGTCTCTCTTGGTCTTAATAATTGCAGGAATATTAAGACAAGGTTCTAAAGGACTTTTTGTGATGTATATGTAATATGATGCATATTACATAGTAGCATTTAACTTTTGTTTTGACATGTAAAGGAATATTTTATTTCATTAATAATTACCGTAATATTAAGCCAGTAATATGTTGCATCCTAATTCATAACATTTTAAAGAACAAATTTTGTAAGCAGAGAAGAATATGACAGTCATTATGAACCGTTCTGTGATCACCTTACACATTGATTATTTTACTGAGCGTTTATCATCAGATGTCTTAGGGCATTGTTCTGCAAGATGGTGTCTTCTCTGGGAGTTTAATTGCAGTTGCCATGGTGATCTGAGGGCACATGTTCACTCTCCCACACGCTGGCAGGACATTCAACACATGGAGCACATCACCTGAACATGGTAAGACTTCACTCCGTGTTGCCAGGGTTAGACAGTACTGAAGAATTAATGCCAAGCTGCTCTTTGTCAGTCATGTTTAAATTTTATTTAATGGACAAGAATTTGCTAATAATACATTGATTAGTGACCAACCATGAGATATGGGTGAAAAATCATGTTTTGATTTCTTCTTATATTTAAAAACTACAGTATCTTAGGACCACAAAAATACAATTGATAACCTTCAGTTCATATTTATTGCTGAGACGTGGCGGTCGGTTAGCCTAGTGGTTAAAGCGTTCGCTCGTCACGCCGAAGACCCGGGTTCGATTCCCGACATGGGTACAATGTGTGAAGCCCATTTCTGGTGTCCCCTGCCGTGATATTGCTGGAATATTGCTAAAAGCGGCGTAAAACCATACTCACTCACTCACTCACTCACTCACTCACTCACTCACTCACTCACTCTGAGACACATGGCATCAAACATTTGGACTCATTTTCTGCAAAGTCCCATTTTCAGACTTATGACTGTTTATGTAATGATTGCAGATTTAAGATACAAGTGATTAATTGAAAGTAGACATGTTTGCTGAAATGTTTTGAAACAAACTAACGAGAGAGAAATACGATATATTTTACAGTCTGCACACATGATTTTTATGGAAGTAAGTTGATTTAAAACGTCTTTCTTTATGACGTCATAGAACAATTGTATCCTAGCACCCATAAAGTCCCTTTTCTCATTTTGGGTCACATTTGATGATTATACCAACTGACTTCAATTAAAACTAATGGTAACCATGGAAACTGGTACTTTGTGTGTGTAGATTTATCAGATATTGTTTCTCCTGCTGAGTATGATTGTGAGAGTTACCATGTATCTAGTTTCAGGTGTGAACATAGGAGTGAAAGATGACTTGACTGCCAGGGCTTCCATCGCTGTCCGGCCCTGAGGTGTCAACCACCAGGTGTTCATCTGGTAGCTGGGTGTCATGACTTCAGGGAGAGTGAATATGTGCCTTTCCAATGGGCTCCATGCATAGACTAGTGAGGTCATGATGTTAATGATTTACCGTATTCAACATAATAAGCGCTCAGGGCGCTCTCAAAATTAGAAATAGGGGGCTCTTATTAGATTATTATTTTGTCGAAAAAACAGAGTTGAGAGATAAATTCTGTGGTTTATGCTGACAGCCTGAAATGTTTATATACGAGATAAATATTTTTCCAGAATTTAATTGCCCATAATTAAGGGTGCATGTAACACACGAGTGCGTATTATACGCGAATGAATAAGTATTGTGTACATTGATCAATCGGAAAGGGTGCTAACTGGGATTGTTCATGAGCCGATATATTAGCAAATATCGCTGTGGGAGCTTATTTGAGCAGGGCGCTTATTACGTCGAATACGGTATTACTCTGCAGTACTTTTGTATTACTTTAAGTTACAGATTAGCCAAACCAAAATTTCAAAAATGTTAAACAATGAAAAATTTAAAATTGAACAAAGTCTGTAAACTACGTAATTCAAGAAACGGACCTGGAGGAGAGAACCACTTGCATGACAAACAGGGCCCCGTTCAACATAGCCATCATAGTGCTAAGACAATGATAACTACTTTACTTACGACTATCGTAGTGCTAAGACAGTGATAACTACCTTACTTACGACAATCGTAGTGCTAAGACAATGATAACTACCTTACTTACGACAATCGTAGTGCTAAGACAGTGATAACTACCTTACTTACGACAATCGTAGTGCTAAGATAGTGATAACTACCTTACTTACGACAATCGTAGTGCTAAGACAATGATAACTACCTTACTTACGACAATCGTAGTGCTAAGATAGTGATAACTACCTTACTTACGACAATCGTAGTGCTAAGATAGTGATAACTACCTTACTTACGACAATCGTAGTGCTAAGACAGTGATAACTACCTTACTTACGACAATCGTAGTGCTAAGATAGTGATAACTACCTTACTTACGACAATCGTAGTGCTAAGACAGTGATAACTACCTTACTTACGACAATCGTAGTGCTAAGATAGTGATAACTACCTTACTTACGACAATCGTAGTGCTAAGATAGTGATAACTACCTTACTTACGACAATCGTAGTGCTAAGATAGTGATAACTACCTTACTTACGACAATCGTAGTGCTAAGACAGTGATAACTACCTTACTTACGACAATCGTAGTGCTAAGATAGTGATAACTACCTTACTTACGACAATCGTAGTGCTAAGACAGTGATAACTACCTTACTTACGACAATCGTAGTGCTAAGATAGTGATAACTACCTTACTTACGACAATCGTAGTGCTAAGATAGTGATAACTACCTTACTTACGACAATCGTAGTGCTAAGATAGTGATAACTACCTTACTTACGACAATCGTAGTGCTAAGACAATGATAACTACCTTACTTACGACAATCGTAGTGCTAAGATAGTGATAACTACCTTACTTACGACAATCGTAGTGCTAAGACAGTGATAACTACCTTACTTACGACAATCGTAGTGCTAAGACAGTGATAACTACCTTACTTACGACAATCGTAGTGCTAAGATAGTGATAACTACCTTACTTACGACAATCGTAGTGCTAAGATAGTGATAACTACCTTACTTACGACAATCGTAGTGCTAAGATAGTGATAACTACCTTACTTACGACAATCGTAGTGCTAAGACAGTGATAACTACCTTACTTACGACAATCGTAGTGCTAAGATAGTGATAACTACCTTATTTAACAGACTTACATAGGGCTGAGACAATGATATATACCTTACTGGTACTTTAACTGACTTACGACAAATGTACCGCTAAGACAATGATATATACCTTACTTTAAGAGACTTAAGACAATCGTAGGGCAGAGACAATGATATATACCTTACTTTAACAGACTTAAGACAATTGTAGTGCCAAGATCGCTTTGTGGAACGGGCCCCAGTCACATAGACTGACATTTAGTTGTAAGCCGCATGCAAAACAGATAGTTTCCACTCAGCTTTCTAGATAAGGTCAAGATATGACTAAGTTGTGAATGAGTTATCTTTCCTTGCCTCTGTTAATTGTTTCACATGTAAA